TGTAGGTACCAAGAGCTGTCTTTTAAAATAAGTTTTTTTTAATTTGGCTTTATCGGCATCAACTACTAAGGTTATTAGCCTCGTTTTCTGTGTAGGTTTTAATACTGTACCAATACCTGATATCGGCGGGATTCGAACCTGAGACCCTTCGATCCTAAAGTCATGACCAGATTCGGTGAAAGTGAATAGATGGGAAACTCAATGATAAAATTCTGAGTCGATGTGCTGCCATCTATCAAATTGGAGTGGTACTAAAATTTAATATGGCCGCCACGAGCGGGCTTTTTGAAATTTAACTTTGTAGTAGCTGGGCAAAAATGTAATGAAGAAAATCAAATAAAGCAAATAAATTGAAAAAATATTTGACTAGTTTCAAATCTTAAAACAACCATATTGACTGTTTTGTGATTTGAAACTAGTTAATATTTAGCCAATTTATATCTTTATTTGATTTTACTTCATTATATTTTTGCATTAATTTCAAACTTTAAATAAAATGCAATTTATTTTATTTTTTTTATTACAGTAAATTAACACCGCACCATATAATTATTCTATTTAAACATGGAAATACTCAAATAAATAAATATTTATAAAACAAACCTATCAAAAATGTTTTCTGTAACAAAATCGGCATATATAAGTGCTCAAGACCTTTATAAAAGTTTTGCGACTTGGAGTGGCAAATGTTTGAAAAAATTGAAGTTGAAGCATCATCCTTTTTTAGGTTGAGGAGCATTTCTTCATCCGATAATTGTTTTCTTGATGTATTTATACAGACAGCACTTGTAGTTTTTATTCATCATGTGGACACTGTGATAAATGAATTTAACTTTTGAGATTAAATTAAACTTACACACGTTTGGGCCCTTGAAGATTTTAGGGTGTTTTCTTGTTTGATGTCAATGGTATTAAATCAATTTTTGACACTGATGGCTGAGGCTCAAATATTTCATCGATCGACAGGGTATTTTGGAGGACCAACATTTTCTTACAACAATGATTATTTAAAAACTGAAAACAAAAAGAAATTTAAATAACAAACCAATTATTTTAACACTGAATCAAAAACAAGTTTGTATATATTACTTACCGTTGGTGCCAAACAGTGATGGTGCATTTTTCTTAAGACACTTATTACAAATTATTTGGTTATCCTTAATATGAGAACTGCATATTTAATGTGGTATAAATTGCAACACTACCAATATCTGGGAGTGTTTTATTGTTTGTTGCTGAAATCCATCTTCCCATCGTTTGAAAATATGCTTAAAATTGGAAGGTGTTGAAAAATAAATATAGATTCTAGATGAATCAAAATTCAATTCACCTTCAAATATAAAAGCCATTTTAATTTCTCTAAATTTTAAGTTTTGACAAGCTGACAACTGACATGACATTTCGATACGAGCGCCATCCCGTTAATTGGACTGGTACTAAATTACCAACCTCATGTTTTTCCTTTTGAGTTACCAGCCCCTGGTCATGACTGTAACCACTGAGCCAACCCACGTCCAAAATAAGTTATTATCCTTATCCGAAACGTTTAATACACACATACCAGTTTTTTAAATGCTCATCCCACATACTTTGATTACTATACGGGACAAGAGAGAGGTCCGACATGCCCAACATAGGGCGCGGCCATTTTGAACCCTATGACACAGTTTATAGCTAAAGAATCAGATCGCTCACTCTGCGTCGGCACTTTTGATCTCAATGTTCCAGTTTATACACTGCGCAACTCGGATAATACAATATATGACAACCGCCTATAATAAAATAGCAGTCTTCTGCGTATCCTGAATTTGTATCCCTGGAGTGGATGTTATTTTGGAACTTTCAACTGGTCCGAGTGAGCTAACTGATTCTTTAGCAATAAACTGTGACTCCAAAAATAATATTTACTGACACTGACAGCAGCAAGCAAAATATCAGGTGCGTTTTAATCATCCGCTTCTGCATCCGGAATTGTCGGTTTAGTCGTTTTAACCTGTCAGATTAAAACAAGAAAACCGACAATTCCTAAGCAGAAGCGGATGATTAAAACGCACCTATTAAAAATATTGCGCCAAGATGTAGGCAACACGTAATAAGGGTTCAAAATGGCGGAGTTTTCTATCTCCTTTTAAAAGGCACTCAGAAAGCTGCGCAGTGCGACCATTCTCCGTATAGTAAAAGAAAATCAAAGTATGTGGCTCATCCCCATTAATATGGGGTATTTTTTTGGGGGGTATAGGTAGAACTTTAAAATGAAATAAAACACATCAAAATAATGGTAGTGGCCATGGTATTGGTTTTATTGGAAAAACATTTGTATGCCATTAGCATTGTTCATATATGTAACATAATTTCGGGCGTATGGGCGTCGCGGCTGGCTCGAATAAATCACAATCTGGAGGTCCAAATTTTGACCACTCTTTTAAGCAGTTGGGGTCGTATATCGGCAATAACGCGGCTAATCTTGGCTTTCAAGTCGTCTATCGTCTCTGGTTTGTCAGCATAGACTAGCGACTTCACACACCCCCTCAGAAAACAATTCAAAAATGTTCAAAATTTCGTTCAATAAATTGATTGTGGTGCTCGCTGTGTGGCATGTTGTGCCGTCTTGTTGAAACCACAGCTCTTCCACATTAATACCATTCAATTGGGCAACGAAAAAGTTAATTATCACGGACCTATTGACTGTAATGTTCTGGCTCACATCAAACAGTGACTTTATGTGGATGTAACGGCGTCTCTATAATAACTAGTGGATTTTCTTCACACCAAATGCGGACATTTTGCATGTTGATGTAGCCATTCAACCAAAAATAAACCTCATCACTGAACAAAATTTTGGACGTAGCACACTGTTTCGTGAAATTAAGCAAGATTATGATCTAGCTTCGTGTAGGTATTCTAGGCAAACCATAGGCAAACCAAATTGAGCAAAAATCAGCTGTCAGCTGATAATGGGTGTCGCTAGAAAAAACCACTCCCGAAATACTGGTACATTTACACTCGAAATCACTACAAATTTTCTTATAAATTCCTAAATTAGCATCGAAAATCATGGTCGAAATCATTTAGATGCAGCAGCTTGTGGATCAAAAACAAAGGGAAGAGTAAAAAGGGCATCTTAAAAAATTAAGATGGAGTTTCAGTAAAATATCCGAAATCACCTTAAAGAATTTTTTCTAATTTTGACATATAAAGTGACACATTTTTTAATCGCAGCAAGTGTCAACCAGTTGCATAAAGTAGAACATTATGCAACTGACTACGAAAAGTTGATTATGTCACCAGTTAAGAAATGAAAATAAATAAAAATGCGTCTTTTTAGTTTTTAAATCGAAAAATCGTAAAATTGAAAAAACCAAAAATCAAAAAATCAAAAAGGCAATGAATAGTTACATTTCACATTTGACATTACGTTTAACAATAAAAATTAAAACAAAAAATTAAAGCTGTAAATTGCCTTTTTTTAAATAATTGAACACCGTTATTGAAAACAGCCCAGAAATGTTGAGGATAAAATTTTGACGTACTCCTTTAAGGATAACGGGTAAAAACGTTTTTTTTCAAATTCCTCGCGGGTAATGTCAAAAATCAGATCGGCAACACTGCACATGTCCCTTATTTTTATTATTACTATTAAAAAAAACGTCATAGGGCAATCAAATACAACAATTTTCTAAAATATTTGATTGAAAGTATCTACAAAAGAATGATAGTGAATCAGTTTATAACCAAACATTTTTTTTATAAATAATCAAGTCAAACTTAGAAAAATCTTGTATGTAACACGTTACAAAATACCGTGTTGTGTAAATCTTTCATTTTGCGGGACCTCGCTCCGCTCGCCCCGCAAATATTTACTTGTTACACAATATAAGGCATTTCGTAACTGGATACATAAATAGCTATTAAGTGATTTCCGAAAAAAGAAACACCATACATATTGAGAAAATTGTTTTTAAATACATACTTATTATAGGTTTACTTTCGAAAAACCAAAATTTTTAATATTTATCGAAATTTAAACATTTTTGTACATTTTGTACATTTAAAAAATAGACCACAGATAATCTCTGAAATAGACTTTTAAAAATGTCTGTCTGTCCGTCCATCCAATGTCACGTTTTTTGTCAAAAATAAAAATTGATACCAACTTGAAATTTTCAGGAAAGATCAAGATATAAGGGGACGAAAGCCTATTGATTTTGAAAAAATCTGATTAAAAATGGGAGGTTAAGGGGGATTGAAATTTAAAAAATCATAAATTAAAAACGAAAAGTGTTATCAATATGAAATTTTTAATAAAAATCAAGAGCAAGGGGGATGAAGCCTATTGATTCTGAATAAAAATGGGGAGTTGAAATATGAGTAATTGAGAACATGTGCAAAGAATTAACTTTTTTATTGAAAGATCCGGTCTAATAAACGTAGTAGGTTTTTATAATAACTTTTTTGACATGTAAATTGTTATGGTTTACAATACTAATAGGTACTAACACAATAGGTACTAGATTCAAATTTTCTGATATAACATTGCATACATTGTAATTCAAAAATAAAGAGATAAATATGTTGCTCTATCTAAAAAGAATTCAACGACGTTATGTACACAAAAGTGGTGACGACATGTACACCAAAGTAATGACGTCATTAGTACATCCAATTGTAGCGTAACACGTGCAGTTGAAAATAAAAATTGACTTGTGAAAGCATTTTGTTAAAATAATGTTGGACAAAGTAATATCGAATGTATTAAAACCTATACTTCCTCACTGCATGTAGTAAAAGTTAAGCAAAAATGTCAGCTCATTTTTCATAAATATAAGTAAGTACGTGACAGTAAAAAATATGTACTTACAAGTTAAGAGAACGGCCCTGGATAATATTCATGATTGAATATAGTATATTCAATTAGATTTCACCGGGAAAGCAACATTTTTTTTCTTCATAACTAAAGTAGTCTTACTATTATTATACCCTAATTATGTATTTTGTTGTAGGTGAAGCGGTCAAGGGCAGATGGCGACTCCCCAGCAGAAAAAGAAAGGTATTTTTTAATACATTGAATATACGTACCTAAAGTAGTGACATTATGAAAATAGCTCCTTTTTGGTTTTACCTACCTACTAAGGATTTGTTGTGAGATGTGAGATACTTATCAGATCAGATAAGTCGGAGTAAAATATACGGCCTGCTAAGTTCCGTCTTGCGAGACGGCAAGACACCAAGGCACAACTGGTACAAGAAAGGATCATGTCGTACATTTTTACCTTGGCAGTGTTAAGGTGCATTTACACTAACGGAATTACAAGAAAATATACTCAATAGAATTATTCGTAATATACGAGCCCAGAAACATATCATTTGGTTCTTGCAATATTGTGATGTTTGTTTACTTTAAAACAACAGTTTATTTATTAACAATTTATTTAAACACTTATTTATTTTATAACACTACTATTTTAATTTATATATACTTCGAATGTCTTTAAACTGATCACTATTTATATTCACCACTGTCTATCTACTAATTACTATTTATCTACACTGTCCATATAATAACTAACTCTGATGGCTCATCCACCAATATTTATATACAAATTGGTGGTCTAGAATGTTCCTCCACCAAAATTACCAGAATTTACCAGAAACGTTATCACGTTATATTTAGACTAGAAATAGTATCTCGTTGACTCAGGAATGTTCGCGAAAGTGTATCCACCATAGTCGTCACATAGATTTGGTCTTAAGGGGTTTAATTATGTATAATAATCGGACAAGTTGAGCCTCAAAGGCCAAATAATACAGAGAGGGACTTGGAGTATTAGAGCATGACTGAATAATGAAATGGCTCACATTACAATATCATATTCTTAATTTTATTTTATACAAAATTGGTAAAAACAAAAGAAATTTCTATTGCATTCAATTACCAATTTTTATTGTAATTTGAGACGTTTGTCAACATTTTTCATTAAAATTAATATTAGACAATTACAAATCAAATAAGATAAATAAATAATTTCGTTCGCCAAGGTTTGGCCCAATAATCATGGTAGGGCACCGGTGACTTTACCACTGTGTAACATCTCCCGGAGAAACTAGCCGCGAGATTCGAGTTAAGCAGTAATCTCTCCGATCACATCGTGGATGAGTGACCACTGGGAGGTTCAACAATGGACCGTGTCACCATCCGATTAGCGGTTAACCATCGACAACGTGGAATGAATGACGATTAATTAGGGAATTGATGAATGAGAAAGTAGTATGACCTTCAAATGGTGGTACAATAAGCCGCAGGCAGCAGTGCCGCCAGGCTATAGACGGATGCGGGTGTAGCAGGGGAGGTCGAAAGGGCGTAAAAATAAAAAAAATATTTTGCTTCAAAACTGCTTTAATTCTGCAGCAGTGAAGGAGTTTCAAATTTGAGTTAGTCTCTCTTTTAGTCCAGGAACTGTCCTAGAAGGTGTATTTTAATTGGCGACATATGAGATTACTTATTATCCAATCCAATATCGGAATATTATTTTGCAACATCTATTCCTTTACAATTTTAGCAGCATGGCACGCACGTAGCGCCATCCTGTCGGAATATGTACTCATAATATCTTTTTTTCAAGCTTTCAATGGATGTTATTAGATTGTCTCTCAGGAAGTCAATATACCTAACAGCATTAGATTGCGGCGACTGTACATAATAATTAAATTTGTTGTTTAATTTGCAAAAAAACGGGTAATTATTCTGTACAGATAGTATCTTACTTTCGTCAAGCTTGTTTACCAAGCTGATATACCCGATGTATTACTAATTATTATTTAATAAATAAACAAAAATAGTAGTTTGTGCAACAAGAGTGGATATGATGGCCATATCGCACGAAGACGAAATTTGAGCACGACGCCGTAGGCGGAGTGCTCAATCGTCTGAGCGCGATGTGGACAATCCACTCGAGTTTACAGAATATTTTTTCTACGACCCACTAACGAAAATTTACAAATAAAAAAAAAAATTTAAGTTATTAAGACAAAACAACTAATTTTAAAATAATTTATGAATTTTAATAATTTTTAAAATAAAATAAACGAAAAAAAAGTTCATTTCATTTTTCCTCATCCGAGAATCGAACTCTAGTCATCCATATGGAAGGCAAGAAGCCTAATCATAGGACCATTTACGCGTTTATTTTTTTTTTGCTTTAATACTCGTAATTAAATTGACTTCATATAGTTTTATTTAAATTAACAAATTATTTATAAATATAGATGAAATAAAAATATAAATTCTTTTATTTATCGATTCTACACAAGAAGAACTCATTTTAATATATGCTTAATCTCAATAACTAAAAAATATACTGACAATTAGTTTGACAGAATTATTGTCACTTATTTAAAATTTTAAAAATAATAGCAGTCGGTTGATGAAAATATGAACTGTGATTGGTGGATTTCATTTTTTGCAGTGTTCTCACTACCTAGAATGGATATGAAGTATATTCGTTCAGTTAAAGGCAATAGCATAGTTTTTCGCTTTGTAATCTGTGCGTCGATACGCTAATATTCATGTGGGTGTAGAAAAAATGTTTTACATTACTATGCTATCATAAATAAGTTAGGTAAAAAAATTTATATTAATGGAAAATCCATTTTATACAAAATAATCAAATTTAAGTTGTTTACATAGGGAAATAATTTAAAAAATAGTACACTTTTCTTCTAACTTTGTAATATTATTTTAAACATTCAAAATTAATTGGAACAATATATTATTCCAACACAAAGATAGGCGTGTAAGTAAATTATGAGGACCATAATTTGTTAAATGTCTATTTTCATATGATAATGGTCAATTGCAAGTTCTTGATACAAAATTAAAGTAAAATAAAGCAGATAGTTCCGGACAATTTATTAAACTATTTAACAACTTATGTAAAAATAGTAAATCTGCTTCACCTTCGTTTTTCAAGAGAGTAAATATTAGTAGTTCCAGAAATTTGAAGATAGTATCTAGACACTTCATTCCTTGATTGTATGCATAAGGTCTCGAAAACCTCCTCTATACATCTAAATCACATAAATTTATCTACGTATATAACTTGTGTGTGATGATAATTTACACAAACGATATAATTTAAAAACACATTACAAGAACTAAATATAAAAATCCAATATAAAATACAGGGTGTCCCACTATAAAGTAACACATTATAACGGCTTAAAACTCAAGAATAGAAAAAGATATCGACGTGTAGTTTTCGCTAAACTTCTTACATTTGCTTTTAGTTTTTGTTGACATAGTTGCCAAATTTATATTTTTTTCGGAAGTTGCCGAAAAGAATGTCTTCTTTTAACATTGTCGATTAATAAAGGACACCGCACTTAAAGCACTGAAAAAAGGTTTCGGTAAAAATGTCTTAATTTTATATATGTTGTAGTCCTAAACATCTTTATTGAATTTGTGAAGAAAAATTGGCGGGGTCCACGAGCCGTTTCGGAGCTAGGGTCACTCATAAGTGTACGTAAAAGGGGGCTTGCTATATGTGCACTACTTTTCAAATTGTCCTTATAATCAAAAAAGAGCATAATTTAAAACAAAAACAGCATGCATGCCTTGAATAGATATAGTTACTGCTATAAAGTCTAAATATGGCAACTCTACAGGGTGAACAATTTTAAATGGTACGGAAAGTTGAATATTTATATGATATTTTTAGTATTTTTGTTTATTGGTATGCATTTTAGCAAAAAAATTAATTTTAATACTGACGACTTGTTTTTTTTTTAAATTCAGGGTGATGCAAAAACCATATCAAGATAGTTTTACTAGTTTTGTACAAATCATAGTTGTAGTTGTACGTTTATACAGGGAGATACTTCAACCTACTACTTTTAAGCAAAACAATTTTTTAACTTAAGTGCAACAGTAACCAAGCAATTTTCTACAGAATTGACTAAAAGTTACCAAATTATTGCGCGGCTACATTCAGGTCATTTGGCGAAAAATAAATCTAAATATTATTGGCAATGTGAAATCGATTTGAAACATCTCGTATTTCTTCTAAAAGAGAATTTGAAGGATATTTTACGTTCACCAAATGCCTAGAATATCCCAGAAACCAAACTACGCTTGTAATATGTGAACAAGTACCCACTGTCCTTGCTCCCACTTTGCAGGTGCAGTAATAACCAATTATGTTATCATTATCATACTGAATCCAGATTTGATATTTAGCCGCATTTTTAAACCTTGACCACATCCGAATCCTAATTGTATTACATATTTCAATAGAGATGTCGATTTGAAAATTATTACCGTGTTCATGTTGCCTTGCATCCTGAATATAAGATGGAGCAAGTTTTAGCTGGTACGTTCCTACTGTCAGTGCATTAAGATATTCTAAAGTTAAGTGAGGAAAATCTGGTACGTGATGGTTTTCTAGATTAACAAAATGGCCACGACGTTGTAGCAAGTTTTCGTTTTCAATCCTTATTTTTAAATTATTTGCCTCGGTTGATTTTTGCAATAATAACTCTGCAAGTTCAATATTCGCCCCGTTCATCAGTATTGGTTCCCGATATTTATTTATAATTGCCCCACCAATAAGATAAAAGTCTCGTAAATGCAATGCATGGTTAATTGATATAACTTGAGCAAAAAATTTAAAAATAGATTTGAAGTGACCATTACGAGACTCGACAATCCACCTAGTTTTGGTAATTAAACGAGAGTCGTTAGCTTCTTCTACCGATAGCTGCCTTTCTCCTGGTCTGACACTACTGGGCATGCGATGGTCAATGCCTAGTTCTTGAAGTAACGGAATCGCATCTCGATAACCCCTATCAACAACAAGCAAATCGTTTTCTTGAAACCACTCCCTTATCCGTTGTAGTTCATTATTTAACACTGCGGCGTCGTTATTTCTTGAATCAGAAAAGTAAGGTCCTTGGACAGCTAGGATATAACCATCAGGAGCAACTAAAAGGGCCGGTTTTATCAGATGGTAGCCTTTGTGGACGCAGTAAGACTGCCGAAGGGCCTAAAAGACG